AAAATTTGTTTTTTTGTATTTTTTATACGTTTGGTAGCAGTTTTTGTAGGTTACTAGTGTTGGTTGCCTATAGTAAGTCGGATTTTGTTATATTTTCGTGATAAAAACAAGTTTTAGCCTGATTTTCGGCTAAATTTAGTTTATTTTAACAATTATCGTAACAATTTTTAAATAATTGTTTGTTATTTACAAAAATAATCATTTTTAGATCATTTGATAGCTATTTTTGCTCAAATTTAGTTTAAAAAGCCTAAAATACATAACCAACTATTTATATTTAGTGTTTTATTGGTAGCCTACAGTAAAACAATACCAAGTCAAAAAATATTTAAATTTTTCATAGTTTTGTTAGTAAAATCATCGATTCCACTTAAATTTATGTCCTGCTCGGCTGAATATTAAGTTTTTCACGATTTATTTCCATTTTTTGCGAATATTTACCAAAAAACACACTAAAGAAAAAATGTTAACGAGTTTGCTACCTGTTTTTGTAGGTTAGTTGTGTTGGTTGCCTATAGTAAGTTGTTTTTTGTTGAATTTTCGTGCTAAAAACAAGTTTTAGCCTAATTTTTGCCTAAATTTGGTTTATTTTAACAATTATTGCAACTTCTTTTAACAAATTGTTTATTATTTATAAAAATAATAATTTTCCTTTAATTTGATAGCTATTTTTGCTCAAATTTACTTTTTCACTATTTATATTTAGTGTTTTATTGGTAGCCTACAGTAAAACAATACCCAGTCAGAAAATATTTAAATTTTTCATAGTTTTGTTAGGTTAGTTGTGCTGAATATTGGATTTTTTCCATTTTTGCATATTTACCAAAAACACTAAAAATGTAAACTATAGTAAAATTTGTTTTTGTTAAAATATACTTTTTTTTACCGGTTTTTGAATTTTAGTAAAACTTTTTCAGTTGAATTTTAAAAGCATTCGCACGATTGAATTGCGGGCGAATTCAATCGAAACACGTTTTTATTAACACGTCAATTTTAACGGCGGCCATTTTCGGCCCGACAGTCACCTTTGCGTCGCACAATCTACGCCGGCGTCTCGGCGGAAAGTCCGTTCACGGTTTCCTCCGGAGGCGTACTTAGGCGCTGGCTGGCTGGCTCTTCGGGGCACTTTACTTTTCATTCCATTTCAATGCTCGCTCGCCTCCCAAATGGACGATTCTGTGGCGCGACACTTTTATTGTTACTTATTTCACGCGCAACATCTCAACACTTTTCTATTTGATTATTATTTCAAGCAAAACTATTGATGTTGTGTAAATTTACCATAGGCAACCAAATATACAGCATAAAATTCATTTGGTTGCTTATCGAAAATTTATTTTCTTTTTGAAAACTTTTTTTTAGGGTTGGAGAGCTGTGTGAGTTAATAAAAAATTAATCGAGTGCAGAAAAAGCGAGTTTATGTTCTGTTTATATTTGCGACACAGAACGCGAAAACACGAAAACATGAAAATTAAACCGAAACCGATACAAAATCAATATTTGTTTATTCCGCGGCGCGTTTTTCGATTCGCGGCTAATTATAAATCGACGCGGCCGGAGTTTATCCGCGCTCTGCGGCAAACTTGGCTTTTAATTAGAAATTAGTGTGCGGGCTCAGGTCTGGCGCAAATCGAAGCAAAAATAAATTGATTTACGAACGGATTTCTGAAATAAATCTCAAAAGTAAAACAAACAAACACGTTCAAACATTAAAAACAATCAAAACACACTGTATACATTAAAATTTATATTCGTGTAGTGTTGGTTGCATATATAAAATAAATCAAATAAGTTTTAGTTTAAATTTTGCTCAAATTTGATTTATTTTTACTATTTTTGATAAAATTCAATTTTGAAAAGCCAAAATTACATAACCAACTATTTATATTTAGTGTTTTATAGGTTGCCTATAGTAAAACAAGTCAAAACAAACAAAAAACATTAATTTAACTTTTAAGCCTAAAAACCAATAAAACGCACTGTATATAATAAAATTTATATTCATGTGGTGTTGGTTGCATATATAAAATAAATCAAAACAAGTTTTTACTTAAATTTCAGCAAATTTTGATTTATTTTTATTATTTTTTAACTAATTTGTTATTATTTGTTAAAATAACAATTTATCAATGATTTAATAGCTATTTTAGCTAATATTTGATTCAAAAAGCCAAAAATACATAACCTACAATTTATATATATATTGTTTTATTGGTTGCCTATAGTAAAACAAATCAAAACAAACAAAAAACATTAAAATTTAATTTTTAACCTTAAAAACCAATAAAACGCACTGTATATATTAAAATTTATATTCATGAGGTGTTGGTTGCATATATAAAATAAATCAAAACAAGTTTTTATTTAAATTTCCCCGAAATTTGATTTATTTTCAATATTTTTTAACTAATTTGTTATTATTTGTTAAAATAACAATTTATTAATGATTTAATAGCTATTTTAGCTAATATTTAATTCAAAAAGTCAAAAATACATAACCTACAATTTATATTTAACGTTTTATGGGTTGTCTATCGTAAAACAACCCACTGACAGAAAATATTTTAATTTTTTATAATTTTTTTTCTAAAAACGTCGATACCACTTGAATTTATGTCCTGCCCGCCTGGAAATTAAGTTTTTCACGATTTATTCCCGATTTATTGCGCTTGTTTACAACAGGGTCGTTGCCATCGCAATGTTTGCAAGAAAAATACCATCAATGCACACAAACTAACATTGCTACTGCAAAATACAAATATCACTTCTTTCCGTCGCACATTTTCTACTGCACCAGTGGCACTGTAGACAAATAGTTCTTATTTTTTACTTTTTATTACAATTTTCTTCTTTTCTCTTCGATTTTCTTATTTTTTTATATTTCAACATAAAATTCTTACAATATTTCTTATTTTTAACACTAATTGGTACAGTGTATAAATACATCCCTACTAATATTATAAATGCGAAAGTCCTGATGTTTGTTACACTTTCACGCAAAAACTACTTAACCGATCATCATGAAAATTTGTACACATATTCTTGGTGGTCCCCAAATGGTTATAGGCTACTTTTTATTTAATAAAAAAATTATTTTTGAAATAAAATAAAGAAATTGTTTAGCCAATAATACCTCTGCATCTGGCTATTTGACTACTTTAACGCCATCTAGCATTCCAGCAATGAAGCTCAAACCTAAGTACTATAGTACCATCACACTGTATTATCACACTGTATTACCGACAGCTACGTCAACATCAAATCCAATTGACTACAATATGGTGACTGTACACTATACTTCCATAGACTATACTTTCAGCCATTTTAAACTTCCCGCCATTCTACTTCATTGTTACTTCTTCTGTGACTACAGACGCGTACGGAAGCAACTTCATTATTTTAGATATTCGCGAGCGAAGCCAAGGGTTAAAGCTAGTAACCTATAAAAATCAATATTTCCTTCTTGTATCGCACTATACATTTTTATTACAACTGCGTAATTTCCCCAATGGACACTTTGCGCAAAACACAAGAGACGCAACGTTTAGTGATGTTTATTTACCCACACACACAAATACATACTATGCAACCAAGTAAACATCATAAAATTACCTTTTGAATATTTCTACGTTTGTAGAAATGTATTTGGTTGCCTATAATATTTTTTCTTGTTTTGTTTATGTTTGATTACGCTGCGCATGATATGATAAACATAACCAGATTTCTAACCTCAAAAGAGATTCAATATTGCGTGCAATATGTATGCATGAGCGTGATATGGCCGTGCACACACACGTTCGGCATGAAATACGAGCGAAAAGCTGCGAGGCATCTTTGTTTTGTTTTCTACATCGTCGTCGCGTCGCTCCATCTTATTTGCATGCGTCTATTGTCCTTTAGTCCTTTCGTTTTTATTTCGTTTCAAGATTGCGTTTTGAAAGATGTAACATGCCGCGCATGATTCCAGTCGATCGCCGCAACCCACCATACACATTCACACACACAACACACAAAACTTATTATTATTGAGTATCCATCGTAATGCGATTGTGTTTTTAAAGTGATTTCGGTGCGCAAACGATTCAGGTTCGCCATGATTGCACAAAGCACTTCTAGATTGTATCCATTTGCCACCCACACTTGGATTTGCTTCCATTTACTTGAAAGCATGTCGAGATGTAACGCTGAGTGCATTTACTTGCCTAAATTATATTCGAAAAGCAAAAAATCGTGATATTGGTTGCCTATATTAAATGTGAAACTAATCGTGTTGCAGGCGGGGAGACGGCAATAATCTTAGAGCGCGCAGATAGAAAACGACAAGATGGAGGTGAAGTGAAGCGAGGATTATTGCCGTAACGCGCTAACAGGCTAACATATCACCTGGCGCAAGCCGAACAACTCGAACCCCTTCCGGTCGGATGGCTTATCGGCCTTGTGTTCATCGTCCTTCGTCCTTCATACCAATATAGGCATCTATAGTAAGTCGCATGTAAGTACATTTGGTTGCCTAGCGGGGTTCTCTGTGGTGTTATCTGCGGGTTTCGTCCCAGTATACGTTTGTGTGCGTTGTGTGTTGCGTACCTTAGAAGAGTTAAACTAGTCCGGCTATGATTTAACTACAGCGCACGTTGGGGGAACACGAGCATTGAAATAGAGCCACAGGGTTGGCGGATTGTGCGCGGCACGAGTTTGTGAATCGCACACGAGGGACACTGGCAACGTTGCAAATCAACACTAATGTGATGCGGCTATTACGAAACTATTAAAACTTTTCGACGCGATTATTCAACGATTTTAAATTGCAAATGTTGGTTGATCCAATTTTACCAAGTAAATTTATGCTTAAAATGTTTTTTAAAGAAAATAAGTTTTTTCGGTTTGAAATTATTTTCAAAATGGCCGTGGGTAGTGCGCATGCGCAGTATATATATTTAATTTCTCTCGCGACGTTGAGACGTGTAACACTTATTGCACAATTTCGTTCCCGTGATGCGCCTCGTCTGTTTGCTCACAAGTTACCGGTTGCATCCGGCGTGCGCGTTGCAAACAGAGAAGTCACAACGTTTACGGCGCATTGTGTAAACGCCGGCGTTGCACTTCGCTCGTGATGTACTCCGTGCAAACGCGTCAGTTTGTTTGTCTCATTCTATAATTTAATGTTGGCTGGCATCTCGAGTGGCATCATCGCGACTAGTCTGCGTCGGCAAATAAACAGACGAGACGCGTATCTCTCTCGGAAATTTCCAGAACAAAGAAATGTTTAAGTGGATTCGAGCGCGCAACGGTGGCGCAGGTGAGTTCGCCGACGCCGAAGGTGTGCGAAACTAATTTCCGTCGCGCGATGAAGTTACTACTGCATCAATTCAATGTAATGATGAATGCATCTGCGGAGGAAAATAGTAAGAACACTGCGGTTAAATACGATTTTCTTATCTTGCATTAAAATCATTTCGAATGAAAAGGTTTCAGGTTTAGTTTAAATTAGTTTCAGAAAATGGAGTAGAGGGCGCTGTGTGTCAAGGACTCGGCGACTCGGCTGTCATCGGTATGAGTTTGCATTTCTTTCGTGTGTGCTGGTTGGGGTGTAATGTGCCGCGTATAAAAGCTGATTATAAAGTAAATTCGGTGAGTTTGCATGAATAGAATACAAGTTAGTGAAGTTGAAACAGTATAGTAGTGGTTGAACAAGTCGGTTGTAGTCATAGACAGTAAATATTGAGTCAAATGTTAAAATTCGATGATATGCACATTATAACCTCAGAAGTGTTGGTGCCGCCAGCGATGACCATGAATTTGACGAGGATGCACGAGTCGCACCGACTGCTGCAAGGTAAGTTGCCTAACACAATTATGAGAATAAAAACTTCATTTTGTTTTATTTTTTGTTCTAGAAAGGTAAGATTCATAAACATCTAGTTGATACTCAATAAAATGCAACCGCATGCCCAGTAGATGTTATTGAGATAAAATGCACAATGTTTCTGCGAATTGCACTCGGATGATGTCTAAATATAGATCAAATAGATAAATATCCCACTTAAAATGTCAAGGTTACATTAAAGAAGTTAAAGAACGTTCCTCATGCAGCTCTTCGCTTTAGCTTAAATCCAGCTATAGTTTTTGGCTGCGTCCAAAATGTGAAATTATGAGGATATTTCGCAGCCATATAACGGTTATATTTCACGCTCACGCTTAAATTCACTGAGGGGGCGCGCATGTATATGCGTGTGTGCGATTTATCTCTTCGGGGGCTCGCCGGAGTGCGTTCGCCCACATTCTTCTAAAAGAAGGACAAAATCTTAGCCCATTTTGGAAGAAGCGGCTAGGCGCCAGCATCCGCAAATAAATTAACGCCGAACGGGAAGAGCGCGCCGGGCGCTCGCTTCAGCATTCAACATTTAGCAATTTGGATGCCGGCCAGCGATGCCATGAAATCATGAAACCATGAACCAGACTCGCGCAGAATTCCAAGCGTCGGAGTCCTGCGAGAGGTTACAAAGTGCGCAGGGTGGGCAGTAAATGCAAAAGATGCGCGTTTCTAGGTTAAAAATTACTGAAAAAAAGTTTAATGGTCTACAACAAAGTTAAAATTGTGTGTTTTTTTGATAATTAGTTAATAACTTTCGAACGCGATGAGCTAGAATGAATATTTTTGTTGGAAAACATTCAGAATTAAATTTTGCATCGGATTGTTTAAAAACAATTACAGAAAAATTATTGGTTTATTTGTTATTAACAATTAAATTAAAATTTTGATTTTTTTGAAAAATTTTCTTGTAATTTTTGATATTTTGCCTAAAAAATAATTCTTTTGGAATATTTAGGTGCAGAATTTAATTCTGAATCACTTTTTGCAAAAATATCAACAATTCCACATAGATTTTTCAATTTATTCATCAAAAATTCCAAAGTTTTTGGCTCGTTTCCGTTTATATTTCTGTGAATGCAAAAAATAAATTCTGCGAATTCTAAAACTTTGCGAATTCCACATGAAGAATAACTGCAAAGAATGGAATTTCGTGCATATCGTATTACAGAACGGAATAGGAATAGTTTTCGTGTGTCAAAAACCGCAAATGAACAGAAATTCGTAATTTTCCGAATTTTTGGACGTTAACCATGTAGAGTGCGCGTAGAACGCGCTCGGAATGTTGAACACGCCACCTCCTGCGTCCTCTGCCGCCCCCGCGGAGGCAGAGATTGCACACAGATTACCGCCAGCGGGCGAATCTCGAACAATATGCGCCGGAATGCTTTAATCTATCATTTTTTTAAAAACTCCACGCTTTAAACAACTATAACTTTGCCATTTTTCAGCCGGTAATGAAAGCGGCGGAGGTGTTTTTTCGTGTTTTTATTTTCAACTAATAAAAATGTTAATGTACAACTTTTAAAGATGCATAGTAATGTATGCATTGCTTTAACGACTGCGTGTGGGTAGGGGTGTGTGTTCGCGTGTAGAAAAATGATAAAAGCTCGTGAGCGTAAACTTTGAAACAATTACGGCCATAAAACAAGTTCGTGTCCGCGCCGCGCTGGATGTAATGGTGGAGGCGCCGAGCGTGTGCGCGCGCCCGCCTTCGAGTTGTAAAACAAACGCGTTTGCAAAAAGAAAACGCAAAAGCGCATTATGCGATGCAAGTGGAGTCGTTCGTAAAAAGCGCCCACGACTCAAAAACCACCAAACTGAGCTGAACGTATAAAATATGAGGCATAAAACATTGAACAATGAACAGCGCTTGTAGTGAAGGAAAAAACTCGCGTATAACTTAACTACAAATCACGTATTGAATATAGGTTTAGTTTTTTTTAGTTTTTATAGCTTGGGCAGTGTTTCTGGGTAAAAATTGATAGAAAAGTTGTATTTTTTGCACTAGGGGTACTAAAAATAGATTATATTGCGCACTAGTGCATAAAATTACATTTTTACACACTCAAATTAGGTAAATTGTCGCATTTCTTAGTTTTTATAGTTTGCATAAGGTTTTTGGGTAAAAATAAATAGAAAAAATGACTTTTTCTGCACTGGGGGAACAAAAATTTAAATATTTTGCGCACTAGTGCATAATATTATATTTTTAATACACGCAAATTAACAAAAACGTCGTTTTTTGGATTTATCTTGATAACAAATCGAGTTATTAATGTTTTTCATAGTTTGTGCCATATTTTTGATGGAAAAACTTATATTTTTCACACTAGTAATGCTAAAACTAAAATAATTTGCGCACTAGTGCGTAAAATTATATTTTTACTTGGTCAAATTAACTAAAATGTCGCTTTTTACGTTTTATTTTATGTTGGAAGCAGTGAACGTACAGCGACCGAAAGCAAAACATTTAGTGCGTTAAAGTAAAACTAATTTATAGCCCTTGTGGATTAGGCCGGAATCCTGTTTCTTTGAGCACAGGACAAATGTCCTTACGCCCTTACGCCCGTCGTCTGCTTTCTTCTGCTCTATTCTCTATCCCTCCACTCGCTCTTTACATCTTTGAGCTTGAATTATACGTTCGAGGATAATATGTACTAAGAAGAGACAAACAACTCAAATTGATAGATTTATTATTACTCTCCTTTTATATTTTGGTTAAAATATTCTAAAAATAGTGGATGTGTAAAGTCATTTTTGTGCATTTTTAATGGCGTTCAGTGATTGAATTTTAATAGGTAATAGTGGAGGAGAGCTTGTGATAAAGCACCTCGTTTTCTAATTAAGTGCGGCAATTAAGCGCGCTTTTTAATTAAGATTTATTCATTCGCTTAAGTTCAGGCCGTGGATTTTATTCCAAAATCAACAATAAAACTATTAAGTTAATTAAAAATTAACAAAAATTAAATTTTTATGCAGAAACAGATAGTGCACTATTTGATCATAGAATGATGAACCTTTCCATCAAATTTCATATTCTAGTTTTGCATGTTTTGGATTGTAACATATAGAATTTGGCTGAAAAGATGCATCCGGCCATGATCTAGTGCAATATATATTTTTTGGATGCGGTTTTATTCAGTAGTTTTGATTAAAATGCATATTTTTCAATGCAAAAATGAAATACATAGGAAAAAATTAAATTTACAGTATATTACAAATATACAATATTAAAGAGTAATTAATTCCCCATCGCATACATTTAATCATTTTCAAATACAGATATTACTCGAATTTTACAAATAAAAGTAAAAAAAAGCTATGTTTCGAATAATTTAAGATAAAAACAGTAATTTTTACTTTTAAATCTATAAATAGAACAAAATTTTGCCCCAGCAGTTTTTAAGTATTTAATACTTGGTAAATAGCAATTAATCATCAAAATTAATTTATTTTCTGCGTAGATTTTATGATAATAATTTGTATTCGATTACGATTCGGACGCGCGCGAACTTACGCCAAGTTACACCGTCGCTGTAATTCCGGTATTTCCGGAAACTTACTTAAACTTGCCGCGTTTGGCCGGAAAGTTGCCGCAAGTGGAGCGACCGGAAAGTTTGCGTCTTCGGGCGATAGAATTGAATTCGATTCGTTTTGCAAATTGTCACCTGGCCGAACTGGCAACAAACAATTTTCAAGTTTGCACTTTTCACTCTTTATACTAATATCAAACATACGCTTATTAATTTATTTCTTTCCCAAACTTATTCACTCGAATTTTCAATTCTATAGTTTTATTAATATTGAGTTACTTAGTGAAAAATTCAAAGACGTAAATTGAATTAATTTGAAATTGTACAATTGTCAGATTTGTAAAGATTTTTTTCCGCTTGCGGTTGGCAAATAAACCCAGTAACACAATACACAGCCGGCCCACACACAAACGGCTTTACGTTTATTCGTTATTTACGAGTTTCGACAATCGTGCGCGTGTACGCTTGGACCTCGCCGCGCGTTTTCCCTGCTCTGCTCGTCGTCGTTCTGTCCGTCCCGTGGCGACACACCGCCATTGAGCGTTGACATTGTTGATTTCCGGGCACGCACCGCACCGACGCAACAAAACGTTTTCGCCTGCTTCGCGTCAAACGCAAGCAAAACGCACAAAAAGGACAAATAATAAATTTCCACAACCAAAAACCGCAATTCGCCATCCGATTCGCGATTGACGCTGCGTGCGGAAAGCCAACAATTTCTTTGTGCGCTTGTAAAATTTTGACAACAAAAAGAAATCAAGATCAAAAGAAATAAATAAGTTACGCACACGTATTTCACGGGTCATTGCTCAGTTTTATCACGAAATAAAATAAAACACAGCGCTGAATTGAGGTTAGAATTTGAACATTTTGAGGTTAAACACAGCGAAAACAAAAGTTGTTTATTGACATGCGCATTGATTGACAGCTGACAGACGATCGTAGGGGTCGCGCGGGGTGAGAGTGAAAATAGAGTGGTAACGACGATGAAAACGTTGTGTGTGCGTCGCGGGTTGCGGGTTTGCAGCTTTGAATGAGCAACACGCACGCTCTGCTTGCCGCCCCCGATGCTGACGCGCTGACGTGCGCAACGAGCGTGTACACGCGGGGCGGTCGTGATAAATGATGCATGAGACCCGCCGCCGAAACCGCGCGCCGGGGGGTGTTTGCTTCTTATCTTTATTGCCGCCACCGGTCAATCGTTATTTATTTTTTACGCCCCTAAACACTAAACATGCTGCGCAAACGAGCCGGTTATTCTTCGGCATGCAGGACATCAAAGTGCGCGTCCCTCTGTTTGATGTGTGTGCGATCACAGAAACGCGAAATCTTTGAGTTATTTTATGATAAAAAAGATATTACTGCGCAGGGTTTTTTTTTGAAGGAAAAAAAAGGTTCGATAGTAAAAAATAGGTTTTTATATTTTAT